ATTCCTCCCACTGACCCCCCCCCCCCCCCCCCCCCTGCAGTCTGCAGGACCCTAATCTGGCCCTTTGGTAGTGACGTTTGTAGACGCCTGTTATGGGATTTCAGTTAATGATGAATAGAAGTCGGTGCAGGAAGGATTCCTGTGTTTTGTAAGAACTTTATGAATCAATTAGAAGTGAGCGAACAATGCGGATGGACCGGTATGACGAGGCGGAGCGCTCTGGACTGTCAGGTATGTGGAGGTCAGAGAATCCCATGGAGAGGAGAATGTTACACAGAGCACACCGGCATAGCTAAACCAATTGGATGGCCTGAAAGGGAACCTTCAGTAACGTTACAGGATTGTATGACGAAATACCTGACGTGTCGCAATATACGCGCACCTGACGTGTCGCAATATACGCGCCCCTGACGTGTCGCAATACACGCGCCCTGACGCGTCGCAATACACGCACCTGACGCGTCGCAATACGCGCGCCCCTGACGTGTCGCAATATACACGCCCCTGACGTGTCGCAATATACGCGCGCCCCTGACGTGTCGCAATATACACGCCCCTGACGTGTCGCCATATACGCGCGCCCTGACGTGTCGCCATACGCCGCCCCTGACGTGTCGCCATACGCGCGCCCCTGACGTGTCGCCATACGCGCGCCCCTGACGTGTCGCCATACGCGCGCCCCTGACGTGTCGCCATACGCGCGCCCCTGACGTGTCGCCATACGCGCGCCCCTGACGTGTCGCCATACGCGCGCCCCTGACGTGTCGCCATACGCGCGCCCCTGACGTGTCGCCATACGCGCGCCCCTGACGTGTCGCCATACGCGCGCCCCTCCAGCACACCTGACATGTCCCACAGACACCAGCATTCATACGATTGTGTCATCCCTGAGCCGGCATCTCGGTCCCGGCAGTAGATGGTGACCCTGGATGATGCCTGAATAAAGATGGCGCCGACCTGCGGGAGAGCCGGTGAAGGCAGTGTTCCAAGCTGATGTTCTTCGGTGAATTGCGGTGCATTTATTTTGAATTGCACCCCAACACGCTGATACAGTAGTGGACGAGGCACCCCAACCCATTGTAGTGCGCTAATGAGTCGCGTCCGTTTTTGGCGGCGTTGCGGTGCCTGGCCGGCCGATTTGAACCGTTGCGCCACGATGCAAAACTAAGGTGTGATTGGGCTTTAGATCTACCGAACTGCAGAGAAAAATCAGGTCTCCCGCCCTGCCAGACAGGACTGTGCTGTGTGGCAGAGCTGTGCAGATCTGGGGAATGGATGGACAGGGATACAAATCCTTTGGCATCTCCATTATATATATTTTAATTTGTGTTTTTAGCCGTTTTCCCGGAGTTCTGCTTTAAAAAAAAAAAAAAAAAAAATTCCTAAAAGTTGGATCCTGTGTTGGGAGCGGTGAGGGATGATGAATGGGGACTTGGCTGCGACCTCGGAGTTGTTTTTGTCTCTCGTGTCCCCATTGTGCTCCATTCTGTCTCCTTCACCGACAAGGAGGGAGCCACTTCCTCCCCAGAGAAGAATAGGTGACATCACACCCCCCCCCCCCTCCACCCCCCGGCCTTCCAGTAAGAGGTGACTAACCTTTCCCAGTGTGCCAGAGGGAGAGAAAAGCTCACAATCCAATCCCATATAGAGAGAATATCAGTCTGCACAGTTATACCGGCTCCTCTTCTGCACCTGAATTCACTGCATTTTCCTGGCTGGAGGATGTCCAGCATCATCTTGCTCTTTCCTCCTCAGCCTGACTGTCCCTGGCCCGTCCCCTTTCATCTGACCTGGGACAAAGGGGAAGGGGCACGTGCCCCAGGTTCATTGTCATGGACTGATTTCCCTGGCCCCGTCCCTTTTATCTGAGCTGGGACGAAGGGGGGGGGGGCAGAAGGGGCACGTGCCCCGGGCTCAATGCCCTTTACGGACTTCCCTGGCCCCGTCCCTTTTGATCTGAGCTGGGACAAAGGGGAAGGGGGGGGGGGAGGGCAGAAGGGCCACGAGCCCCGGGCTCAATGTCATGGACTGACTTCCCTGGCCCTGTCCCTTTCATCTGAGCAGGGACAAAGGGGGGGGGGGGGGGAAGGGGCACGTGCCCCGGGCTCAATGTCATAGACTGACTTCCTTCCCTGGCCCCGTCCCTTTCATCTGAGCTGGAACAAAGGGGAAAGAGGGGGCAGAGGGGGCAGAAGGGACACGTGCCCCGGGCTCAATGTCATGGACTGACTTCCCTGCCCTCCCCCTTTCATTCATTGGACTTCAAAGGGGCAGGACAGGCACAGTCAGGCTGGGGTGGATCTAGCCCTTTTCTCCCAAAGCTGACTGTCCCTGGCCCGCCCCTTTCATCAGAGCAACATAGGGGAAGGGGGGACAGAAGGAACACGTGCCCCGGGCTCAGTGCCATGGACTGTCTCTGGCCCCATCTCTTTCATTCATTGGACTTCAAAGGGGCGGGCCAGGCACAGTCAGGCTTGGGAGGATCTAGCCCTTTCCCCCTAAGCCTGACTGTCCCTGGTCTATAACTTTCATCTGACCTGGGACAAAGGGGGGAGGGGGAGGGCACGTGCCCCAGACTCCATGTCATGGGCTGAGACTCCCTGGCCAAGGAGAAGCATTTGGATCACACAAAGTGGATTTGTATCCGTTGTGGCCTTTGAAGGATATATTTATAGTAAATGATCTCTTTTGCCTTGCAGTCAGCTTTAATGAGATCACAGAATGGTAAGTGCAGGAAAATGCTTTGGAAGTGTATATACACTATATTGCCAAAAGTATTGGCTCCTCCCTCCAGATCATGTGATGCAGGCGTTCCAATCCCCTCCCAATCATGTGATGCAGGCGTTCCAATCCCCTCCCAATCATGTGATGCAGGCGTTCCAATCCCCTCCCAATCATGTGATGCAGGCGTTCCAATCCCCTCCCAGTCATGTGATGCAGGCGTTCCAATCCCCTCCCAGTCATGTGATGCAGGCGTTCCAATCCCCTCCCAGTCATGTGATGCAGGCGTTCCAATCCCCTCCCAGTCATGTGATGCAGGCGTTCCAATCCCCTCCCAGTCATGTGATGCAGGCGTTCCAATCCCCTCCCAGTCATGTGATGCAGGCGTTCCAATCCCCTCCCAGTCATGTGATGCAGGCGTTCCAATCCCCTCCCAGTCATGTGATGCAGGCGTTCCAATCCCCTCCCAGTCATGTGATGCAGGCGTTCCAATCCCCTCCCAGTCATGTGATGCAGGCGTTCGTCATGTGATGCAGGCGTTCCATCCCCTCCCAGTCATGTGATGCAGGCGTTCCAATCCCCTCCCAGTCATGTGATGCAGGCGTTCCAATCCCCTCCCAGTCATGTGATGCAGGCGTTCCAATCCCCTCCCAGTCATGTGATGCAGGCGTTCCAATCCCCTCCCAGTCATGTGATGCAGGCGTTCCAATCCCCTCCCAGTCATGTGATGCAGGCGTTCCAATCCCCTCCCAGTCATGTGATGCAGGCGTTCCAATCCCCTCCCAGTCATGTGATGCAGGCGTTCCAATCCCCTCCCAGTCATGTGATTCAGGTGTTCCAATCCCCTCCATATCATGTGATTCAGGTGCTACAATCCCCTCCATGGACACAGGTGTATACAATCAAGCCCCTAGGCATGCAGACGGCTTCTACAAACATTGGTGAAAGAATGGGTCGCTCTCAGGAGCTCAGTGACTCCAAGCGTGGTCCCGTGATAGGTGGCCACCTGTGCAATAAGTCCATCCGTGACATTTCCTGGCTACTAAATATTCCACGCTCAACTGTTAGTGGGACTATAACAAAGTGGAAGCAACTGGGAACAACAGCCACTCAGCCACCAAGTGGTAGGCCACGTCACATGACAGGGCGGGGTCAGCGCATGCTGAAGCGCACAGTGTGCAGAAGTCACCAACTGTCTGCAGAGTCAATAGCTAAAGACCTCCAAACTTGGTGTGGCCTTCAGATGAGCCCAACAACAGTGCGTAGAGAGCTTCATGGAATGGGTTTCCATGGCCGAGCAGCTGCATCCAAGCCTTCCATCACCAAGTGCAATGCAAAGTGTCGGATGCCGTGGTGTAAAGCACGCCGCCACTGGACTCTAGAGCAGTAGAGACGTGTTCTCTGGAGTGACCAATCCCGCTTCTCTGGCAATCTGATGGACATGTCTGGGTTTGGTGGTGGCCAGGAGAACGGTACTTGCCTGACTGCATTGTGCCAAGTGTACAGTTTGGTGGAGGGGGGAATTTTGTTGTTGGGCTGTTTTTTCAGGGGTTGGGCTTGGCCCCCTAGTTCCAGTGAAGGGAACTCTTAAGGTGACAATTTGGACAATTTTATGCTCCCAACTTTGTGGGAAGAGTTTGGGAATGGCCCCTTCCTGTTCCAACATGATTGCCCACCAGTGCACAAAGCAAGGTCCATAAAGACATGGAGGAGCCAGTTTGGGGTGGAGGAACTTGACTGTCCTGCACAGAGTCCTGACCTCAACCCCATAGAACACCTTTGGGATGAATTAGAGCGGAGACTGCGAGCCAGGCCTCCCCCCCCGACATCAGTGCCTGACCTGACAAATGTGCTTCTGGAAGAATGGTCCAACCTTCCCATAGACACCCTCCTAAACCTTGTGGACGGCCTTCCCAGAAGAGTTGAAGCTGTTATAGCTGCAAAGGGCGAGGCCAACTCAATATTGAACCCTACGGACTAAGACTGGGAGGCCATTAAAGGTCATGTGCGTGGAAAGGCCGGCGGGCCCCATACTTTGGCAATATATTGTATATTGAATAATATTTGGCTTCTGAGAGAACCTCCACAGATGCTCAATGTGGTAAACGTCATTAAGAGAAATCCAGTCGAGGACTCCAGTGCTGAATGAGTCCTGGGACTGGGAAGGCTCGGATAAGTTGGGAACCAGTTGGAAATTTTGTAGTTGCATTGTTTATCTGTAGTTTTATCCAAACAAAGGTGAAAAAGGTAATGAAATTCTCCTCTCTGTGTCCTTGCAGGTCCTCTCACACAACCTCTGCACGCTGCTGAATGTTCCTCATGATCCAGTGGCCCTGGAAGAACACTTTAGAGACGATGACGAAGGTCCAGTGTCTAACCAGGGCTACATGCCCTACCTCAATAAATTCATTCTGGACAAGGTAAGACTAGTCCTCTATCTAGTTATTATCTCTGGGAACCAACAAAGGGATTTAAAATTTACATTTCAGTGACTGAAACATATAATGCCTTCTAAGTCATCTCTGTACCATCCGATCCTTGCCAGTTTCTGCTCTGTAGATTCATCAGTCATGGTCTCATTAAAGACCTGCAGTTGCCCTTTGTTCTCCACAGCAGGCACAGGGGATGTGACGGCACCCATCGCCGTTCCACTAAAGTTTTTGATACTATTCAATCTTAATAGAAAACATAATTTGTATCTTTCCCTGAAAGATGTTGGCTTTGAAGTAGACCTAAACTCAAAAGTGAAGATTTTCTATGTTATAGGGAACATTTAGAAATTGTGCCCAATCAGTATCTTGAAAAGTTCTGCAATTCCTCCTGAAAAAAATAGCACTTCCTGGTATGCGAGTGTGCCTAGGCATTTCTGTGTCTCATCCTAGTTAATGCACTGGCAAGGAGGAAGGAGGCAGAGTGAGGAGAAAGAGGTGACCACTTTGGAATCATAAGTGATGAGTCTCGCCAGTGCTGTGACCTCTTGTAACATCAGTCATTGTCTCAACAACAATCTGAGGTTTCCCTTCATTCTCCGCGGTAGGCACAGGGGATGTGATGGCACCCATTGCCATTCCACTAAAGTATTTGAGATCATTCAGTTTTATTAAAAAAACATCATTGTTATCTTTCCCTGAAATATGTTGGCTTTGAAGTAGACCCAAAATTGAAGACTTTGCTATAGGGAACATTTAGAAGTGCCAAATCAGTATCTTGGAAATTTCCCTTTTTTTTTTCTGGAATTCCTACGGACAAATAGCACTTCCTGGTATGTGATTGTGCCTAGGCACTCCTGTGTCTCATCTTAGCTTCTGCACTGGCAAAGAGGAAGGAGGCGGAATGACAGTAAGTGATGGGTCTCCCCAGTGCTGTGACCTCCCGTTACATCAGTCATTGTCTCAATGAAATAACCCACAGTTGCCCTTTATTCTCCACAGCGGGCACAGGGTGTCAAGGCCTGGACTTGAACCTGGGGCCTTGGCTGTGTCTGGCAGTAACGCTTCTCACTGAACTATCTGAGATGTTGGACATCACTCTGCCCGATCAATTGGACAATCCTGAAAAAATAAAGAAAAAACAGCGCAAACATAGACCTCTAAATAAAATCAATATACAAAGTGCAAACATAAATGAAAAATTGATCAATAGTGAAGTCCATTAAGATAAACCAAAGTTCAAAAAATATTTGTGCAAAAATAAATATATTTTCAAATTCTTCTTCTATTATAAAGGAACTTCCACCTTCCACCCGTGAAAACCAATATCAAATGCACTCACCAGATATAGGTGAATAAAACGCCTCTTAGGAATTTATGGGATCCTAAACCCTCTTTCGTATCCACTCTATAGGAATCCTCCCCTCCAGCATAGGCTCCACCATCCGACCAGGGAGAAAAAATCTCAGATAGTGTAATATTGTAAGACACCATTCATAAGTGAAATCAAGGATTAAGGCCACTCACATTAAATTCACTTTAAAAAGGCATATTTATTAGGACCAGCTTCTTTCAGATGAACAGTAGATGCAAGGCAACCTCCCATGGAATCTCGCATCACAGCTCCAGGTTACAGCAGAAGCTCTACAGAGACACCGCATATACAGATCCCAAAAGATGGCCGCTGGAACGCACCGCTCAGCGTGCGCTCCACTCACCGGAAGTGACGTCAGACGTACGGAATAGAAACCGAAATGCGTCAAGTTTTTTGGACAATTAGTAGTAGTAGTAGTAGTAGTTAATTGGACAATCCTGCCTTGTTTTCTGCTGAACTCCTTGTTCCTCCTATGAACTTCCTGATTTAAGCCATGTCTGCATGTCCTGTTTGCCAGATTATTGTGCCTTCTCCAGTATCTCGCTCTTGTCTCTCCTGCTGCCGTCCATATCTTTGCTACCGACCTTTGGCTTGTTCCTTGACTATGATTCTGCCTCATCCCAACCTGCTATCACTGGTTACCGACCCCTGGCTTGTTTTACTGACTACGCTTCTGCTAGATCTCTACCTGCCATATCTGTTACTGGATCCTGGCTTGCTCACTTCCTTGTGGGGAGATCCTGAGAACTGCGACCTGGTACTAAGACGCAGCAAAACCCATCTCCACCATCAGGAGCTCTGGTGAATACCAGTTAGTGCTTAGACCCCACACCTAGGGTGAGCTTGCGTCATTTCCCAGGGTGACCTGCTTGTTTACCTATCCTGTTGGTTGGTCTGCTGCTATAGTTACTGGTCTCTGACCCTGAGCTCCGACCGTGACACAGACAGGGGCTGTGAAGGCACCCATTGCCGTTCCACTAAAGTTTTTGATACCATTCAATCATAACAGAAAACCACTTTTTAATGTTGATTTTTGTCATTTTACTTTGCTTTTCTATGAATAATCTCATGTAAAAAATTGTAAAAGAGAAGAAAGTGGTTTGAATTTTTAAGAGGAAATGCAGACCATGAGGAAAACCAATCAGTGAGACGTTGGTGCCATCCAAGAAACTGTGCAGTAAATCTCCAAGTGCAACCAAATTCATTAGGCTTTTCATGCTGCCTTAAGGAGGCATTAAATTACATTCTGGCATGATTCTGATCTATGATGCCATCCTCCCTGGGAAGTACAGAGGGTGGAGTTTGGAGCCGTGGGAACAGAAGGATTACATTTTTTTCAGAATCACATTCTGGGCTATTCCTACAATCCCAGTAACAAAAGGTGTTTATTTGCCGGAACAGCCAGGTGCCCCAAGATAAAACCAGGTTGGCACTACTTGGCAGGTAATTTTTGACCCTTGAGTTTTGTGTTCAATGTTGAACTAAAGTTGAAAAATAAAAAACTGTCCTGCCTCGGACTGCTCTTTAATCCGACTGGCGGAGATTGGTGTTTCCGGAACTGTGGTCTACATGGGGACGTCTTGCACATCTGGTGGTCCTGCCCGCAATTGATGGGCTTCTGGTCTAGGGTTCTTGGTTTGCTGCTAACGTTAGTTCATATTACGGTCCGTAAGGATGCAAGAGTGTCCCTCCTGCATTGCCCAATTTTGGGTCTGTATAAGTCTCAGCAGAAATTGGCATCCTACCTATTCATTTTGGCCAAACGTGCTATAGCTCAAGCTTGGAGAACCCCTTTGGTTGTCTTTCGGGGGGTGAAGACCCTGATGAATTCTATGCTGATCAATGAACAGATATCTACCGTTCTTCAAGATTCTCATCCGAGATTCCTTAAGGTTTGGGAACCTTGGATACGTTATTCCCTGCCATCCCTGCCTCCTACTAGCTATGGCCTCTTATAGTCGTTGCCTGTGCTGGCCCTGGATCCGTGATTTTTCTAGTCTTCCTTTCTTCCATGTTCTCTCCCTGAATTTTTCTTTCTTTCGATGTTCTTATACTTTCTTCTTTTTTTTTTTTTTTTTCTTTTTTTATCAGTTTGGGTTTATTTCCCATGTGTTCTGAGTTGATACTTCTCGGTAGGGATTTTTCCTCCTTTTTTTTTTTTTTTTTTTTTCGGTAATGGATTGGATGGATTGCTGCTGCTACTGTTTGGTTCGGCTTTTTGCCATCCCTCCTTGGTGTCATTATTTGGCTAATACACCCTGCTTGTCACAAGTTGGCCTGCAGTTTCTTGTTTGTGTATTCTTACTTCCTTGCTGCAGCGCTGTTCCTGATCCCTTTCACATGTGTGTTTTTGTCTGTGCTCACCTATGGGCATCGTCTGCTGTTCTCTGGGATTTATTTCCTTCCCTTCCATCACTTCCCGGCCCGCCTCCTTGTTTGCCTGCCTATATAAGACGTGCTCAGACTAGGCCACTTTGCCTGAGCAACTTCCTAGTTGTCTGAGCTCCTGTGTGTTGCTATTGCCTGTATCCTGCATTGACTACTTGTGTACCGATCCCGGCTTCGTTCTCTGACTGTGCTTGTTTTCCACCTGTCCTGACCTCGGCTAGTCCATCAGATTTCCGTTTGTCTCCTCCCATTGTACTCTGCTCCCGCGAGCGGTCTCCTCATCCTCAGCTGGGCGTACCTGGGGGCCGTGACCTGGTCCCAGCTTGCTGCACGCCCATCCCCACCATCAGGGGCTCTGGTGAAGAAGCAGGCTGGGGCTTAGACTCCGCGCCCTGGGGAACCCCAAGTTGACGATCTACAAGGGCTCACTACCACAGGTGCTGACACTGCTGATTTGTATCTGCTTATGTATGCTATTGTTCCGCTCTGCCCTTGCGTGGGCATATCATGTATTATAAAAACAAAAACTTCTTTAATAAAAGTTTTGAAATAGAAAAATAAAAAACTGTGAACAGGCGGGCTCTTCATTGCAAAAGAGACAAGCAATGTCTCCTCTGCAATAAAATGCACCTCTCTGTTCGCTATCTCCTGTAGAGAGCGCACTGCCTGTGTGCCGGGATGACTGCGCTCTTGGACATCCACTGACCAGTCAAGGTGTTAGAAGACCAGCACCTAGAAGAAGCCAAGGGAGAGAATGCCGGCACTGGAGAGAGCTTTGGACCATTGGAACTAAGGTAGGTATTTTTGCATGCAGTTCCATTCTATTGGGAGCATACCTTTTACAGCTGCCATGCCACCTTGTTGGGACAATTTTGACCTCAATTAAAGAGGAACCTCAGTAGAACCTTTAGATATCGGGTTCCTGGAGTCTAGTGCTGTTTTCCCGCAGCCTGTTCTTATTGCTGCGAGTCCCTGGCACCACCATTTTGGATATGGGAGCAGGCTGTGACTTCCAGAGGAATTACAGCTGGGTCTCCATTACGCATGCGTGAGTTCACGTGGCACAGCTGGTCCTGTGGCATCCTGGGACATATGAAGTGAAAGGAATGCTTTGGAACCACTCTGCAAAAGAATTTCCCAAATGGTTTAAAAATAATCTCTACAACAAACGGTTTGACGCTTTGTAAATCGTGTATAGTATATCCTGTAAAGTGCAGCGCTTAAAAAT